TACTTTTCATTTCTGTTATACATCTTTAAGATAATATGTACACCAATTATGTTTTTATTTTACTGTGAATCATATGCATGCATATCTAGACAATTTAGCATGCATAATTTAAAGTATATGCAATATTTTGAATTAACCTAAAATTTCCATATCTTAATAACCTTCTAGAACAGGGTTACATCACATTCGAGAATATATGTGCATATTTTTTTTCAGAGGTTTTTGCTATAGGGCGCACGTGCTCACCAGAAAGACAGAGACAGAGAGACAGACAGCGAGAAATCACCCTCGGGGGGATGGCCACGCGGCAATCCTTTCTCCTCCATTCTCCTCTGGGGATCTTGGGCACGTACGCACATGTGCCTGTCATGAGTTTAAGCCACTGGGTCTGGGACGCAAATCATAGTCAACTAATGGGAGTCCAACAACATTGCCATCACACCAACCGCTGGTCCTTACATTTGGAAATAAATGAACCAGTCATTTTAGAATATTATTTTTGTTTACTAATGCTTATACGTCTACTTGTTAAAATATGCTAATTGCTTGAACGTACGGAAGTATGAAATACATTATGAGCCATATTTATGACATACTTAGAATGAAACAAATATAATCTATTAATTAGTATAAAGAAGTGAAGAACTAATGCACACTGAAGTTGAATTTCAATCATGAGTTCTATCTTAAAATGAAATTTAAGCTCTATGCATGATAAATATTCAGGACAAATGAAAGCAACTTGAATTATCCCAGCTCTCCTCTCCAAACTTTTTTTTTTTAATGCTGCCCTCTTCAGCACAATGTGCCTGACCATGTGACCATCTGCCTCTTCAGTAGGGTGGTCTCGGGTGTTACTCTGTTGAATCCTGGACAAATGACATGGCGCATTTCCTGACACACCATGCATTAAATAAATGGTTAATATTATTGTTACTATCAGTGGGGAATGTCCCCACACTTAAGGAAACAGTTTCCTACTAATGTCTTTCTAGTAACAGCATCAATTACTAGTAACATGGGGCAGAAAAAAGTAATTCCTGAGATTCTTGCAATTATTTTCACATTTAAATCTTGGTCCTATGTTAAGAAATTTTTATAGTGTGTTTACAAGCTAAAATTGCATCATTTGTTCCAACTATCTTTTTATAGGTAAAGCAACCAATTAATCAATTAATAAAGATCCATGTTTCTGTCGATCTATCTTTCACAATTATTAATTTCCATATAAAAATAATCTCAAGCCTAAATTCAAACCTAACTTTTTTTTTTCATTATGTAATATGCTATTGCTCTCCTTTCATCATTTACTTCACTTTATGGACTAAAGGTTTATTTTATATATATACTCTTCAAACAGTTGCCATAGAAATAGAGTTGTGTTTTCTCCACAGGTGTTGATAATTTGGCTCACAAGTTTTTGCATTTATATTAGTAGAAAGAAATATGTGTAATACGGTATTGTGAAAGGTACTCAGTAGAGCTGTTACTTGAACTTTTATGGATATGTGAGCGGTATTGCTACTTAATTAGTGCTCCAGAAATTGGTCTTATCAGTCATGCCTCCCATTTTTTTCTAGACCTAGTCCCCTATGCTATTCATTCTTGCACACAAATCCGCACTCATTTTGACAGAATAATAGAGTTGTTCCTATTTTGACAAGAAGAGACTTTCAAACCAACGTGATATTGGGATAAATAAGGACAAATAGTTTTCACTGTCAAACTCACAAAACATGGCAGCTCACCCATGGCTTTGTAGAGAGCCCTGGTGAAGCCCAGTAGGTAAGACCAACACGTTATTAGAAGGCTGACGTACAGTACTTAATTAAATTGGCAGCTTATATTCTGTACTATTTTGCATGATGTGCTAAAAAGAAAGCATGTAGCTTGTAAGTTCACTTAATCACATCCATATGCCTCTTAAGAAGAATATTGGCCCACCTAACAGAAAGCAACGACGTTTCACTCTGCTCTGTCCTTCCCCACACGTTCCAGTCGTACAGACTCGATGTCCATTTCATTTTCAGCGCTTAAAACTGAGGCCCTGGCGCATTCTAAATGCGAAGATTAGCCTGAGCATAAGGCCTTCAAAACTTCCCTACCTGAAAAGACCCGTTCTTAGTTCCTAGGGTGAAACCAAAACACCGTTCAGCTCTTCAAAGGAGAGGGGCTTCCTCGGGGTCAAGTCTGTGGGAAGACGCGCTCCCTCTCCCCTCTCCGTCGTAAGGAACAGCACGAAAGAACTTCGGATGTACTTTCGATCATCCTATCAGAAAAGGCACACTATGTGAGCCAAAGGAGAAGTGTTCCCCCCCCACCACCACCACCACCACACACACACACACAATATTTTAAGAAGTCCAGTTAGAAGGAGAGTGCACATTGAAATATTGCCTTCGTTTGTTTAAGGTCGGCATGGGCTGTCCGTGGCCCGGTGGCCTGTGCCAGTGTTATGCAGACAGTGACAACGGATGACACCCACACTGCAGCACGTATCATCTGGGCAGTGTCTAAGTTCTGCACAATCCAGAGCGCAGCTGCGTCTTGCCAGCGGCAAAGATACCGAAAGGACACCGGAAAGACCAGTTACCATCGTTCTTGCAGTTCTGCCGTTCTTCTAGTGCGGCAGAGGCCAGCACTGTTTTTTGGGGTGAAAGCCCATCAGCAAACCTCGTCCTTGTCTCTAGGACTCCCCCTCTTCTGCCAAGTCCTTGCCCGCAGCCTGCGGCAGGGACGCCCCAGCGCCCGTAGGTGGCGCCCCGCGTCCGTGCTTGTGCGTCTCGCCCGCACTCCAGGCGCAGCTCGGAAACCCGGCGCGTCTCCCCGGTCGTCAGGGCTCAGAACCCGCATTTTAATAAATAAGCACCAGTGCCAACGCGCTCCGCGAGCCCGGAGGTTCAGAGGAGCAGACACATAAACCCAGAGAGGCACCTCTTCGATCCCTGCCCAAAACCTGGCATTTCCCAAACTGGAGATTCCGGAACCACAGCCCTCCCATCATTACGTCCCCAGGCGTTTTCTCTCCATCTCAGTCTTTTCCTTAAGAGAACTGTTTTTTCCCCCCTTCATTATGAAAGTGGTCACACTATCCAAGACTAAGACTTGGAGGGAATTTGGAAAAGAAAAGAAACAATCTAAAAGAAGAGACGCGACCGGTGCTTCCGAGGGCGCCTAATCTTAGCGGCGTCTGGGAGGATTTCGCTCGGGGTGTTTGGGTGAGAGCCTGGCCAGGGCGTTGCAGGGTGCGGCGGGGGGGGGGGGGGGCATCAGGGCGGGAGGAGCGCGGTGCGCGGAGTCCTCAGGGAGAGGGCAGCGCTCGGCGGAGCCCTCGGGAGCCTGGCGGGGAGGCTGGGACTGAGGGTCCCCGCC